TAGTCGTACTATAAAACCTTGTTGTTATAATTTTTTTTCTTAAAAATTTTTTTACTTTTTTCTTTCTTCTTTTGTTAAATAACCAAACAAACAAACAAATAAATAAGATCAGAAAAATGGCTATAAGATTTTCGCCAAACAGCCCTATGCATGACAAAATTTTGCCAAAGTTTTTGTACAGGGCTATTTGGGGGAAATTAGATTGCAAAAGCTTGCAAAGCGTCTTACCATGCGGTTTCACGGGCTGCTGTAGACTCCCAGCCTGAAGCATTGTCAGCGTGTGGCCTCTAATTCTACGCTTACAATGACTGCAATTCTGACTTTATTGCTCTGTTAGGTTGTCATCTCAGGGTGTGTGTTTACCTGCACGTCCATCTGGTTTAAACTGATTAGCATCCTGGCTATAAAACGCTCCCAGAATCCCGCAGGAACGAAGCTCATCTTGAAATGCCGCTGGATGGCATTGTTGCTCTGGTGCCGAAAGCCGTGGATGTCCAGGGCAGGTTTGGGGGGCAAAAGGTGGGGCAACAAATAACTACGAAGAGAAGAAAGAACTAATGAGGGAAAATCAGGTATGAAACACTGCACGCTTGACAAGCATTACATACGATAACTCGTAATATATGCAATGCATCCAAACAGGCAGGTGGTTCCCATAGGGCGTAAAAGTTCATGAATCAGTGCCATTAAAACTTTTTAATGTGCATTTTTAAAAACCTGACATAGAAAAAAGTTTGGAAATTTAAAAGATATTTTCTGATTAGTGTTGTCAAAAGACCCGGTATTTCGGTACCAAGTCGGTACTAAAAAAATGAAAATGTTACGGTACCAGGTTTTTTTTAAGTACCGGTGGTACCGAGTACCCGGTCAACCCAGTTCTTGATGCGCTATCCGAAAGCTATCCTCTTCCAGTGTTGCCAAGTCCGCGGTTTTCCCACGGAATTGGGCTGCTTTAACACTGTTGCCGCGGGTTGTTTTTCATGTCCGCGGGTTGAAAAACGACCCCATTAACGTGATATTTAGCCCCTGGAATGCGAATTTTACCAGGGGAACCCCGCCAAAACATGCGTATTTTATCCTCGGACGCGATTTTTAACAGGGGACTCCCTCGAAACACGATTGGGCGGGTTTTGTTGTGAATACCTGGCAACCTCTTCTTAAAAGCAGTGGCGACCTCAAGAGGAGGAAACGCATCAAACTAACAAAACACCCCGATCAAGTTCAAAATGATTTCTTTGTTAACTATTTAATGCTCCTATAACTTTTATTACTGTAAAAGTATTAAAAAATATATAAAAAAAGTAAACTGTTTATTGTTTTTTAGTTAGTTAGTTGTAATTCTTGGCTGAATATCTCTAGCAGGTTTTAAAAGCCCTTTAAAATTAAATATGAACACAGTTTGAATTAATAACATTAATACATAATCTAAACAAATAAAAACTCAATACTTAATTATTTTCACAATAAAATATGCAATACTCATCTGCAGAAAATCAATCAATCAACCAATCAATCAAATCAATCAGCATTATTTTCACAATAAGTCACTATTTAGTTTAGAAGAAATATAATTTTGGCATAATTGTTACACAATAACTGCTGACCAACTGACTGACAGACAGATAGATAGACATACTTCATATAGATTAAGATTAGTGCTGTCAAACGATTAATCGCGATTAATCGCATCCAAAATAAATTTGTTTGTTTACATAATATACATGTGTGTGCTGTGTGTATTTATTATGTATATATAAATAGACACACATACATGTATATATTTAAGAAAAATATTTTGCTTATATATTAAATATATTTATATATAATATAAATTATATGAATATAAAATGTATACATATGAATAATACATGTAAATATTTTCAAAATATTTAGTGTATGTGTGTGTATTTATATATACATTATATGTAAACAAAAACATTTATTTTGGATGTGATTAATCACGATTAATTGTTTGAATATATATATATATATACTGTATATATACATAAAATAAATTATATGAATATAAAATGTATACATATAGATACATGTAAATATTTTCAAATACATGCATATACTGTATATTTTGGATGCGATTAATCGCGATTAATTGTTTGACAGCACTAATTAAGAAATATACTGACGTTACAAAGAACAGAAAGCCGTAGTTTTTACCTGCTGCTGGCGACTGGTAGAGCGATCTCGAACTTGGCCAGGAACTGGAAGTACTGTTCTTCTGTTTGCTGGGTGAAGCCGGTGCCCACCAGCAGCATGCGCAGGTCCTCGGCCTTGATGACCCCATTACGGGCGACCGAGCGCGAGCCCCTCAGGTTGATGATCCGCTCCAAACACTCGGACAGCCACACGGCGTCCAGGAAGTAGAGCTTACACAGGCCATGACTGGTGTCGGAGAAATGCAGTATAGTGCCGGTCTCGATGAGGAAACTGATCGCTGTGTGATTCACAAACAAACAGCTCATCCCACTGAATCCTGTTCCACTTGGAAATACATCAGATTACAGCTACTTTAATGTGAGGAACTGTGAATGAAATAGACTAGGGATGCACAGATATAGAAAATAATCAATGATTACATAACTAAAGTAATGGGTGATTTAAAAAAACAACAACAACTGTATTTAAAGACTGAAGCTGCGTCCCAAATGATGCACTATACGCTATACCCTTATACACTATGTACTTATGCACTATGTACTCAACCTTGTAGTGTATGAATTTTATAAGGTTATTTTGTCATTAATAATCGGAGTCTGATAGCCCTTCTGTACGTAATTAAAGCTGCGACAGTTGAGTGCATGAAGTGTCCAACATTCCACACTTCATTTTTTCGGTTATTTAATGGCATCATCCGGGTATTTAAAGTGCACTTTTTCTTTTTGGAATTTTCAGTGTGAACACACTACTCGCACTATTTATACTACAAAACGTCATAGAATAGTGTATTAGTGCGCGATTTGGGATGCACCTCTAGATTTCTACTTGCTTTGAATTTTATAAATGACATTAGACATTAAAACATTATAATGTACAGTAAAGATGTTGTGTTTATAAAAATATATTTAAAAATCTTTAAATCTGAATAAGACAAAATATTAGCTTTTCTCTTTTAGTCTAATGGGGTCAATACAATACAAAAATCATTACATTTTTTCAAGTAATTAAGTAAATAATTAAATTAATTTAATAATTTAAAAATCAAATAAAATTCAATACTTCATACATATACATACATACATATACATACATACATACATTATATATATATATATATATATATATATATATATATATATATATATATATATATATATATATATATATATATATATATATATATATATATATATATATATATATATATATATATATATATATATATATATATATATATATATACACTGTACATATACATGCATACATACATATAACACACACACACACACACACACATATATATAACCCTATTAAACAAACAAAAAACAAATAAATAAATAACTCAATATAGTTTAAAATAAATATTAAAGTTAAGAACAAAAATAAAAATGTATCTTAAAAATGTGTATTAGTAAAACATATTAGGAATATATATAAAACTTTATGGTTGGTATTATTTTCATAATAGATTATGCACACCCTGTCTGCAAACCCTATTAAACAAACAAACAAACAAACAAACAAATAAATAATCCTTAATATAGTTTAAAATAAATTATAAGAACAAAAATGTTATGTTTGGTATTATTTTCACAGCAAGTTATGCACTACTTGTCTGCAGATCCTATTACATACATACATACATAAAGTAAATAAATAAATAAAACGTGTAAAATATTTTAAAACGTTAAAATTAACAAGAACAAAAATATTAATATGCATTTCAAAATATTTAATATAGATTATTTACATTTTATTTAGATTATTAAATTAAAAAATATATAAAAAAAATAAAAATGTACACAAATAATTTCTACTAATTTTATAAATATTTATTTTTGCATTACCGGTTTGCAGATCCTCATAGTCTTTGATATCGCTGGCGGGACTCTGCTCGATGATCTGCTCCAGTTCTGAGTCCGTCAGGTACTGAACCTCATCGGCTTCGTCTCTCCTCAGACATTCTGCTTTTATGGCCTCCCGCAGGGTCAGGTAACTTTTGGGGATCTGTACAAAACACCAAAAAGAGACAAACACATGGGATAATTCACCTTAAAGAACCTAAGATACTACTGCAGCATAGCCTCCTCACGCTCATGCTTTTTGCTCATTTCAAGTTGCTTTGGATAAAAAAAAATACCTGCTTAATGTATAAATAAAAAAGCATACTGAAGATTTGAGGTGGAGCAACAGTATTTCACTTCAGTTTTTCCATCTTAACGAACAGGTGTCAGAAATAACTGTGATTCATGCCAAACATACAGTCTTAACTAACACTAACCAGTCTTCCCACTAGTTTGTGACAGCTAGCAGGGTTGCTGACGTCTTTCATGGAGCAAGCGACCTGAAACAACAGCCTCTTGAGTACGTCCATGCCTTCCAGCGTCTTACACGACACTTCACTGCCAAACAACCACACATTCACACAAACACACACCAAAACAGATCGTCCATTGAGGAAAGTACACTGTAAAAAAAAATACTGTGGTTTTAACGGTAAAAGACTGTAAAAATGCTACAGTAAAATCCTGTTAATATGGAATGCCAAACCTCACAAAAGTATAAAAAAATAAAAATAAAAAAAAAATATATATATATATAT